AAATTCCAATATTGCATCGTTAAATATTTGAGTTTAATGGCTTTAAAAAATTAAATAACAATCAAAAATATGAATGATTATAGTTATTTTAAGAAGTAAGGGGATACAAATAGAAAAGATCTGAAATTGACAACTTTTCCATTTCACTGAAACAGACGTTAAACACTTCTTTCTTTCTTTCTTTCTTTCTTTCTTTCTTCTTTCTCTTGTTCTTGCTTGCTTTATTTATTTCAGTCTTTCTTTCTTTCTTTCTTTCATTCATTTTCTAATTGAAACCAAGTAGCGTCTTTTCCCCTCTTTCCGCGCGATTAAAATGGAACAACGTCTTTATCCACTGGGCCATGTGTCTCTTTTTGTCTAATGTGCCTTGCTAGCTGGTGGTAATTTTACGGCTGTCAGTTTTAGAGATAACCCCTCTCAATGCACTTGGACGCCATGCAATAACTAGTTAAAGAGTTTCAGCGCCGTAACTTAGGAATTTTACAAGATTCATATTTTCTTTGGTTTAATTAATAATTAATTAAACCAAAGAAAATATGAATCTTCTAAATTATTAAATACAGAGAGCAACCCCAAACATTTGGCCTAGAGTATTATAGGGAGACAACAGTTGTTTGCCCTTGGGTTGAACGCATGGGAGTTCAGCCCCTTTAGAGAGGAGAATTATTCTTCCCTTTTTTGCTTCTGTTTGGGGAGCGGTTAATACATTCTTAACCACCAGGGCGTTCACATACGTGGAAAATTACTACGGCCGTGTATCTCGTCTTTCCATACCCACATTCAGTATCAATGGTTACACTAATGCTACTATTAGTACTTGGTGTAGAGGAAACCAATATTCTTCCTAGCACTAACTAGCCGGTAAATTATGGCTGGATTATAAAGGTACTAATAGTATATATACGCACCTCACAAAGGATATGCAATGCTTCTAAGGTTGATTTGTACGACCAATGAAGTTAAGCAACGTCTAGTCAGTACCTATGGATGGGTGACCGCTTGGGAATACCAGATGCTGTAAGCTTGGATATGTGGTTGGTGTAATGGATAATGGCTCCAACCTTAGTTAAGCAACGTTGAATCAGGTCAGAAGCTAGATGGGTAACCGCTTGGGAATACCAGGTGCTGTACGCTTGAATGTGTGGTTGGTGTAATGGTTCGGAATTGGAAATTGGAGAGCCGAGTTCCAGCTGTGTTCGTTATATTCATTTTCCATAGAAAAACGTATGAATCCACCTCCTCTTCCTCGAGCTATGGGTTAATTTGTAGAACTTTTATCTGTAAATCATTATCTTCTTTAAAATGTTTACGATCTATAATGATTTTCTGATTTTAAATAACCTGAAAAAGGTTGTTAAGCCGTAAAACACGCATCAATCTTAAATTTTCGACCATTTTTATAATAGGATACAATTTTTGTTTATAGAACAGCGACTACGAAATGGCGGTTTTCGATATTTTTTTCTGGTTTTTTCTTGAATATGAATACAACAGCTGACAAAATTTGACAACTAGAAAAGCGAGTTGCGATAGAAAAATATTAGGGTGTATTAAAAGTGCTTTCGTTTTTTTTTTTTTTTTGTAAGCGGTTCCTCATTCTATAATTACGAACCAAAATAAACATGTTCAAAATCAAAATACAATTTTCCATGTACCATTGTTTGTGTCTTCTTTTTACTAATTGTTCAATTTCCTGGTAAAACTATACTTTTGGTTTTGAGAAAAAAAATCCATGATATTCCCGTAAGGGGTCTTTAAAATTTACGGAGCCCCTCACCCCCTCCACGGAAAGATGATACCATAAACGGAATATGGGATTATTCTGAGGAGAAAAACCAGCCAGAAAAAAAATGATGGATCGTGCAAAATGCCGATTTGTTTGAAATCACCAAATTCAGATTGTTATAAGCAAAGGAATGGCTACGGAATAACAAAAGAAGTATTTGCAGATAAGTAGTATCTTGAACAGTAAATGAACAGTATTACACGATTTGGAAGTGTGAGAGTACACGCATTCCCCGAGACTTAATCTCCAACCAGTCTTATACTTAGTGGAAGAGTCCACAATCGACTCAGTTGGAGGGAGGACACCTCAAAAAGATTAATGAAGGTGGCTTCTTTTCGATTGATTAAAACGTGGGCATTTTTTTTCAATGAGACATCTATTCTATTCTGTTATTCACAGAAAAGATGAATGGATGGTTTTTTGATATTACCGTACCTTATCTGTCAAGGTATTTCTCTCAGCGCTTGCGAGGTGCCGTTGTTTGAAGCTAAATATAAGGTAAGGACACAAACAATCTTTCTAACTTATGGTCCTTTACACGCAGGATACAGTAGCGACAATATGTAAATCGTTACCCCTGCCAGCGAGAATTCTGGCGAACTGACTTCTGAGTCTCACGTGAAGCATGTGTCAGCCTTACCACCCACACTGCAACTAATTATATAAATATATATTTCTCTTCTTTTCTGAACTATGTTGTTCTGTACACTATAGAACAAAGATTCTTTCTTTTTTTCTTTCTTTCTTTCTCCTATTTCTCCCTCTTCGTTCTTTTTCATCTATTTCGTTTTCTTTTCGCTTCATTTCCCTTCTTTATTTCTTTTTGCCTTTCTTTTTTCCTTTCTTTCTCCTGTTTCTCCGTCTTCTTTCTTTTTATTCTACGTTTTCTTTTCGCTTCATTTCATTTCTTTCTTTCTTTCTTTCTTTCTTTCTTTCTCCTGTTTCTCCCTCTTCGTTCTTTTTGTTCTATTTCGTTTTCTTTTCGCTTCATTTCCCTTCTTTCTTTCTTTCTTTCTTTCTTTCTTTCTTTCTTTCTTTCTTTCTTTCTTTCTGTTTCTATTTCGTTTCCTTTTTGCTTCATTTCCCTTCTTTCTTTCTTTTTCCCATTTTTCTTTTCTTTTTTTTTTCATCGTCTTTCTGTTTTTCTTGTTTTACCAATTCCACTTTACTGGCTAACTGACGGATTTTAAATTTTAGGCAAGTCTCTAATAAATTGTTCACCATGTAGTAACGGGTTATGTAGTTTCAGCATCCGAGCTTAGTAGGAGTTAGTTAAACCAAATAAGGCATGAAACTAACTATTAAATCCAGAGAGTGATCCCAGCATCATGGCCGGTAGTGTAGTTCCAAGTCTATTTTTATGCAGGTAAGTCTGCATCTTCTTACCAGATTTATTTAAACCTATCAAGACAATCCCTAAAGAAATAGATGTCCTGCCAGGATGAACAACCTTAACGGTATAAGTAATGCAGTTGTCACAGTGTTGATTGCAGACATAGAAAACTGTATGAACCCCCGAACAAGTTAGCAAAGGAAAAGAGGAAGAAAGGACTAACCATTAATTGTAAGACATAAACTATGGTTTTCAGCAAGAGGAAAGGTCCAAGATTTTTTAATCGAATTTACCCCAAGTAAGGCAGTAAAGCCACTAAGACACAAGGGGTTACTGGGTATGAAAGAATTAGAAAACAGAAAATATTATGAAGGGTAAGAAAATAAAAGAGTAATTAGGAAGACAGTCGATAACGATTAACATTGCATTTTAAATTTTAGTGATGGCAAACAGAAACTTTTTGGGCTTTATTGCAAATCTTAAAATTAGGCCGGAAATAAAACTATTTGGGTTTTGTTAAAGACACTGGAACAAGGAATGTAATATTTATGCTCAGAATGATATAAGAAAGAGCTATATAAATGTCGAAGGATGTGTACCTATGTTTTATAGATTATACAAAAGCGTTTGATCAAGTCATTAACTTTGATATATTTGGAGATTATCATAATTATTATAAAACCCAGGGTTGTGTGTGTGTGTGTGCGTGTGTGTGTGTGTGTGTGTGTGTGTGTGTGTGTGTGTGTGTGTGTTTATATATTGGATCGGATTTTCTACATTTTTCAACCGATTTCAACAAAACTTCACAGGACTTGCGGAAGAAATTGTTTTTACGAAATAAATTCGAAAACACGATTAAGAGGCATCGCTGTCGCGAGAATGGAAGGGGACAAATTATAAAACCCAGGTTGTTTGTGTTTGTGTCTGTGTTCGTTTATATATGGGATCGGATTTTCTACATTTTCAACCGATTTCAACAAAACTTTTTTTTTGGCAAATTGTCTTAACTTTTTCTTTATTTTTACAGTCAGAATGCTTTAAAAATTCCATTTTAAGACAATTGTTTATAATAAAATTCTATTCAATCGATAGACTCATAACGATTGAAAACAATGTTTTTGTTTGAGTTTGGGTTTGACCAATTCGTAAAAAAAATATAAATAAATAAAACTAATTAAGACATGCGTGTCCGTCAACCTTAAACAATAATCTTTGTCAATTTTATTTTTCAGTCTTTATGATGGTTGATACTTGATCTATCTCTTACTGTTACATCCCCGGGCAACGCCGGGCTCTACTGCTAGTATTAGAATAATCCAAAACCTATACTGACAGCAAGCAACTTGCAGGCGGATAGAAAATGAATTCAGTAAATATACAAAAATAGAAAGGGGTGTAAGACAAGGATGAGTCTTCTCGCCGGACTAATTCAACCTATACAGTGAGGTGATTCTGAGAGAATTAGAATTTCCCCTAGGTTTCATTATTGGCAACTATAATCTTAACAACATAAAACATACAGATGACATAGTTTTAATAGCAAACATAGAAAGGAAACTATAAAAACTCCTACTGTAGATAGTTAAAGAAAGCGAGAAGAAAAGACTAAACATTAATTGCAAGATAAAACGCTAGTGGCTTGCCCCTCAGTAGCAGATTGGTGACTTGCGTATAGGGAAGCCGTCGTGTTAAAAATGCATTTTTGCAATATTTTTAAAGTAAATAATATTTGTTTCAAATCAGATTAATTAAACGCTATTATTCCTTAAAGTTTCAGAAAAGTATATTTTATTTCTGAAAGATTTTTTTAATAAAGAGAATTACATTGCGATGACAGATGGCTAAATATGGCGCTAAAATCTACGAATGCTATTGATTTCGAAACGAAAACTCCTTTCAGACAATTTAAATTGGTTTTAAAATGCAGCGAACTATTTTGCTTATTGAAAATATTAAATTTTATCTATTAGCTTGAAATTTAAACTAAAATATTAGGTTTGTGCAAAATAATGACGTAATAATGTCGTTTTTTTAACGTATTTTTTAACGTCAAAAAACGACATTATTACGTCATTATTTTTGCACAAACCTAATAAAAGCTACAAGAATGATTTTTCATTTCCCCCCAAAAAATCATTTTAAACCGCGAATCTTTGGAAGGATCTAAAAGTTAAGGCCTCCGTTTGTGCTCGCCTACACCTGTCTATCGTAAATTGTTCATATCTACCTATGTAGGTCAGTTCATAACTATCTATTCATGGATTTATGCCAGTCTTTTTCATATCTATCCTTGTGCATATCTCTCCAGCCATTATCTACTTCATATGAAAGTGTTTTTTTCGTGAACCTGCAATTGACGCTATTTACAAAGTTGATAAAAACAGAAAAAAAAATGATTAGACAATATTAATGATAAGGAAATGACAACGCAGTTGATAAGCACAAACCGAACAAAGAAATAATCCATAAGTGTTTTTAGAAAGAGGTCTACAAAAATTCATTTGCGCAATGGCGTGGCTAGGCGAGGGCGGAGGTGGCGGTCTCTTTTGGTCCGAGATGAGTTTTCAGAAAAGAAAAAATCAATAGCATAATTTCAATATTATTATACGAAAAAAAAAAAAAACTTTCTTAGAATTCATTAAATTATGTCAATTCTGGTGCACCATACTAAACCTGCCAACACATTTAGCCATCAAATTATCGATGGAGACGTGAAAATAATAAGACAGCAAGATCAAGAAATGTTTGTCTAGAAAATTTTATGTTATAAGTAAGTGATATTTGTTTTAGAACAGATTAATTTAACTTTAAATTTGCTAATTTTGCGAAAGTAACGTTTCAGAAATGCATATTTTATTTTAGCGGGATTTTCAAAAACGTAAAAATAAGTTTTGTTTATATTTCTCTAAAAAAGTTTTAAAAAATGGCCGTTTCGATTGGTTTTTCGGAAGAATCGACTAAAAATCATTCAAATTTCTATTTGAAATACTCCACAGTATCTTTTTTTCTGGAATTAGAAAATTTAATCCTTTAGCTTTCAATTGAAGCTGGGGGAAGCTTCAAAAAGGAAAAATACATTTAAACCTTCGGCATACCGAATTTTTGGAGGTACATTGTCAGTCTTTTTCATATCAATCCTTATGCATATCTCTCTAGTCATTATCTACTTCATATAAAAGTGTTTTTTCATGAACCTGCAATTGACTGCAAAGTTGACAAGAACAAAAAAAATGACTAGACAATAATCATAAAGAAAAGGCAACGCAGTTGATAAGCACAAACCGAACGAAGAAATAAGCCACGAGTGTTTTTAGAAAGAGTTGTTCCTTTGTGCGTTAAAAATACTTTCAATCAGGTTTCATTTCTTTTTTAATTTTGTTAGCGCGTCTTGCGGGTTACTGCAAAAATAAATAAATAAAAATGATTGACATTTATTTACAGGTATACCTCGGGTTACGTCGTTTCGAGTTTAGTCGTTCTCAATCATACGTCGTTTGTCAAAAAAAAAAAATATGGAAAAATAAAAATCAAGTTTAAGTCATTTTGTTCGAATTTACGTCTGTCTGCCACAAATATTGAAGATGTAATGTCACTAGAAAAGAGTGATTTTATAATGTCTTAGCGCAAACCACATTCACAAATAAAAGAGTCAGCTAGAAAGAGAATAGGTTAAAATTGTGTTGTGTCAGTCCCACTATGTATTCCTAAGTGAGCAATGGTGAGAGGAAAAATCATTCAGAACTTCAGTAATAGTACCAATATTCATACGCTGGCTTCCATCTTCAAAGGCCATTCAAGAACCGTCAAGAGAATGGTGAATAAGTTTAAAAAAGCGGGAACAGTTGAGAGGAAAACTGGATCAGGAGGACGCAAGAGGAAAAAAAGGATCATTTCAATTTAGAGCTAAATACAATCTTATTGTCCTAAGTAGAATCCAATAGAGAGCTTAATCTAACAATTGAACTGGAAGTGTCTTCTTAATTATCAAGTCCTCCCTAATGGGTCCTTCCTGAAGTCGTTCTCAATTATACGTCGTTTGTCAAAAAATATATGGAAAAATAAAAATCAAGTTTAAGTCATTTTATTCGACTTTACGTCTGTCCGCTGCAAATATTGAAGTCGTAATATCCTAGAAAAGCATTATTTTATAATGACCAATATAGAATCCGCAATGTACTGTTCGTTCGACATCCGTCCGTCTGGAGACGATGGAGTAGCGCAAGTGCACCGCGAGCCTGGACGGGATGTATGGAGAACTAGGGGCTGCCCGGACGTCTAGTTCCCCTCTCGGCCTTGCGAGCAGAGTTCAAGGAGAGGATAAACCAATACAGTTTGGTACCAGCGCGGCTGAAGGAGTTGCCAGAAGGTAGCACAAAGTGCCGTCCATCCGCCTTAAGGACTCCACTCCGGATTTGTGTAGCCTCCTTAGCCTTTTCTTCTCCCGAAGATTTCCACAAGGCAGTGGAGCTATTTAACCCATAGCTGGGGTTTGGTTCATGGGCATCAGGGCGTGTCCACACACCGGTGGGCCTGCATGCCGCATGTTAAGAGGGCTAACTCCTCCCCCGTCCCCTGTAGTTCAGCCCGAGTCCGCAAGATGCTCGGTTGCCATGTGTCGCCACGAGGAGGCACTACATGCTGATGGAGAGGCTATATACTGACAGGGGAAGACTTACGCACTCGGCTCCCCTTTTCTTATTTCTGCTAACCAGCGGCGGTAACTGAAAGCGAGAAACGACAAGCACTAACACTACAGACTACCACATTAGACGCATCACAACAGTCGTACTGTAAAGATCGCCAAATTGTAAACATTTAAATTTACAAGTATGTACATACATCTATTCGTAAATTTAGATTCCTTTTTTTCTGTATTATATTAAAAACTAAAATTTATTTGTTTGTAAGGTTAAAATAGATTCTTATTGACCATATATTATTTAAAAATGCATTTATAAATAAAATACCGAACTGGGTATGGTTATTTGTAGTTTAGCCTAGTGACAAGTAAATTCGACTTGTGTCGCCTCAACTGGAACAAATTACCGACGTAAGGTGAGGTATACCTCTATTCATTTTTACTGCTGCTCTGTGTGAGTCAACATTCAAGGAACTAGTTCAAAGGAAAATAGTCTACTTGCCTGGTATTGAACTTACAACTCTAGTCATTTGATCTAAACAACGTCTTTATCCACTGGGCCAGACCGGGCCACAGCCAGTGGTAAACGAAAAACTTGGAGAGTTGAGATAACGGGAAATAACTGAGACATCCGGAAGAGGCATGACATGTGGAATTAGAACAATCTAACCCGGTGTACGATTTAAAAAGTCCGATTCGAAATTACAATCACCTGAAGAAGGCCGGAGCGTACAACGGCCGAAACGTTGTGAATATGTCAATGAAGATGAGGATAACAGTCCGAATAATGCAAAAAATGCAAGTAATCATAATACCTCATCTCAGAGATATAGAGGCCAAAACGTTGTGAATGTGGCAATGAGGATAACAGTCCGAATAATGTAAATAATGCAAGCAATTATAATACCTTATCCCAGAGATATACAGGCCGAAACGTTGTGAATGTGGCAATGAAGATGAGGATAACAGTCCGAATAATGTAAATAATGCAAGTAATTATGATACCTCATCTCAGAGATATAGACAGAAAATAGGTGTTAATTATATTTGGGTCAAATTTCGCAAACTGTTCTGTAGCAATTGTTTTTGTTCATTAACATAAACGTCAAGCAATTTTTTCTTTATTGATGTATTTATTTTACTTATATGGAATCGTACAATAGACACTGTGGCTAGAAATAATAATTTTTATCAATTTCTTTGTTTTCATAAGCAAACAGAAAAGAATCACTAGGGCTTGAGAGCACGTCTCTCATTGGCCAATAAATATGAAAACTTATTTTTCCATAATTTCAAATAATGAATATGTAAATATTCAAAAAGAAATAATTTTGGTGGTTCTTTAACCTCCAGATCTGAAATAGATTTTCATACAACTGCAAGCATTTCCTTTTCCAAACAATCTGGCGCAAAAATATACTTTTGACAAAAATACATGTAAAAAAAAAAGAAGAAAAGAACCTAAACGATTAAACATTTATGACACCCAAAACTAATAGTAATAAAAATAAATTTTTTATATATGTCCATACTACGTGACTTCTTTATATATATATATATATGTATGTATTTGTGAAAATATATAGAAAATAGGAAAGAACTGGTTAGGTAGATCCAAAGTTCCTTAGTATTTTAGTTATTATTTTTAAAAATTTGTGCTCGATACAAATGTAGAGCATAAATATAATTATTTATTTAAAAATATGATTCCAACTCGCGACATAAGAGGTCTCAAGTCTGATGATCACGATCCCAATGTAATAAATTATAACCATGGAATATTAGTGTTTGAGACTTTTTTTATTATATTCTTTCTCTGTCCTGGACATTGAGTTCTACCTGGATTCTATCCTCTTGGGAATTTATTTATACACATACATACATACATATATATATATATATATATATATATATATATATATATATATAAAACTTATTATAAAACGCAGATTGTGTGTGTGTGTGTGTGTGTGTGTCTGTACGTTTATATATTGGATCGGATTTCCTACATTTTTCAACCGATTTCAACAAAACTTCACAGGACTACGTAAAATTACCTTGCGGTGGTTCTGTCAGCGCCAAAATTTGGAAAAACACAATTGTTTTGCACGAAATCAATTTGAAAACACGATTAAAAGGCATTAATGAAAGGGGGACAACTCATATCGAGTTATACATATTAATATCGAGTTATACTTATAATAAAACCCAGGTTGGTTGTTTTGTGTGTGTGTGTGTGTGTGTGTGTGTGTGTGTGTGTGTGTTGTGTGTTATATATGGGATCGGATTTCCTACATTTTTCAACCGATTTCTAAAACTTCACTTTTTTTTTGGCAGGTAGTGTTTCTTATTGTCTTGCACACTTTTTTTCTTTATTTTTACATTCAGAATGCTTTAAAAATTTCATTTACAATTCAATTGTTTATAATAAAATTCTATTCAATCGGTAGACTCATAACAATTGAAAACAATGCTTTTGTTTGAGTTTGGGTTTGATCAATTCGTAAAAAAAAAATAAATAAATAAATAAAACTAATTAAGACATGCGTGTTCGTCAACCTGAAACAATAATCTTTGTCAATTTTATTTTTCAGTCTTTATGATGGTCGATACTTGATCTATCTCTTACGGTTACATCCCCGGGCAACGCCGGGCTCTCCTGCTAGTATATATATATATATATATATATATATATATATATATATA